TGCAATTTAGTAGGCTGGCTGGTTGGCTAAATGTAGATAAAAGGGACACCAGTTGCAATGAACATATACATCACCAAACTTGTTTTGTAGTTATGAAGTGACAACAGTGCTGACATATCTCATTAATAATTGCTCATTCATGAATGCTTTATGAGGCCTACAGCTTAAATCGTTTTATTTTTCAATCTCCGCTGCATGCAATACGGTTTTATAGGCTCGGTTGTCAGAAGTGTATCAGATCTCCTTCTTTGCTAAAATTTGGTGCCTTGGTTGACTTTTTTATCCATGTTAACAAACATTCTTTGCTGTCTAAATCACAATTTATAAGGATGTTTTCCTGATTGGAACTGACCATTTTACTGGACATAATGACTTTATGGGGTAGCCTCGAAAATACATTTAAGGACTTTGGTGAACATACCAGGTAATTTTTACAAAATTCACTATTTTTTGTCTATCTTTTCTGCGATTTTTCTGCAGCTAATCTACGATTAAAAAAACTTTTAGACTTGTTAAATCTCTAAATTTTTTTTATAGTAATAAATTTATGCTTTTGAGTAGGTCTCGAGCAGTAGGCTGGCACAGAAGGTTTTTGTGGTTGGGAATGACATGGAACGAAGAAAATAAGAAATGAATAATCAAGAAATAGTCAAAAAAAAATACTACTTTTTTTTTTCATAAATAATTTATTGTTTTTATACTGTTACGAGCCGCTTTAAAAAACGGCGAAGTTAAAACCGATGCTAATTTATCACTTTGACCAAAACGAAATCATTGATTGCCATCTTAAGACTGCTCACTAAGGCGAGATGTCAATTAACCTTTATTCATCCAGTTGACTGTAGCATCTCGTGACACGAAGCAATACTTTAACTACGACTTTAGAGAAATGGTCTTTAAGTTCTTCTAAGTTTTTCACGGAATGCTTCATCCTCGGTCATTAATGATATTAGCGAGTTTATGGTACCTGTTTACAATTAACCAGTACTACAAATGCAAAGTGCAAGACCGCAGAAAAGGGGCTACTTGACAAGTATAGAGTTCTGCGTTTACTCAGTTACATCTGAAATAAGATTTTACTGAATAATAAAAAATTAGTTTCTGTTCTTAAAAAAAAAACAGAGTTAGATCTCCAAAATATTTTTCAATTACAGGTCTTACTCTTTGCTCAAAACTTTGAGATAATTTTATCTGTTAGGATTGTTAAGAAAAATCTAGTTGTGTTGCTGGCAACTGTTTATTTCCAAAATTAGGAATTAGTGAGATTTTTTAGAATTTAATGCAAATTTATTTTTTTTTCTACATTGTTTTACTGAGGTTTATTTTTGATGAAGACGTTGACATTAAATGCTCATTAAATTGCTTATCTTAAACTTCATCAGTAATTCTTTGAGCAGTGAAATCTAGTCTACTGTTTGAAGTTTAAAGTAATGGCATGCTGCTAACTTCGACTTGTCGTTCGAGTTTTGTTCAAAATTTACACTGCAATTAGGGAATCCTTTAAAGGAAAATATTTTTTAATTGTTTTAAACAAAACTGTATTTTTCAAAGTCTAAAATTCCTCTACAACTGCACTCACAATCCAAATAATTTTTAATCTTGTTTTAAAAATTAGATTGAAAAGCTAGATTTTTGCCTTTAGAATATGACCTAGTAGGTAAGAAATTTTGATAAAAAATGTTATACTAGTCAACCCAGTAAGTTCACTATATGCACAAATTATCCAGTGATCTAATTTGATTATTTACTTTGATTATTTTTGCTCGTTTTTTTTTGACGTTTTCTTACAAATATGCGTAAAGTTGGGAAATAGGACTCCAACATGGGGAAGCATCAGCTGCAGCAGTACTCTTGTAAAGATATAAGATTAAACTGTTTCGTTGTAATTTGCCTTTCCGATATCCACTTTGTTAACTCTGTTTCTCGAGAAAAAACAGCTATTGTAAAAAAATAAAGGTATTACGAATAACGACAATTAACGTATTACCAGCAATAAATAAACAGTTTTTTGAAATTAATATTATTTTGCCTTGTAAAACCTCTAAGCTTTTTTTCATCTTCTACTTTTTTTTTGGAACAAAACATCTACTTCAAAACTGTTAGTTTTACCTTGCCGTAGCTGGCAGACAGTCTTCTCAAATTGAAGAATGAGGTTTTATATTACTTATCTTCTAGAAATCTTGAAGAGTTTTATTCTCTTAAACTGTTCTCGTAAGCGTAATTAGTATTTGCTATGTGCAGTACTAACCACTAGCTGCTTTTATGTTTTTCTATATAGGTCTAGGACGTTATCTAGTTTACGACCTTCTACGTGGACCATTTCTTCTTTATGTTGACAAACTCAACACACAAGATATCTCTTTCAAAAAGAACTCGTTATCTTTTCGCCCTTTTCAAGCAAACGTATTGTTTCTTATCAACCAGTGTGATGTGTATAGTGAATGATTATCTTAATTACTTCACTTGTCAAATCCAGCAGTAATACAGTAGAAAAGTCTGATAAAAACAGTTTCCTCATCTAACGCAATTGCCGTAGAAAATTGACAAACAAGAGATAAACGAGAACAGTTATAACTTACAAGGGCTAAGAGAATTTTAAAATATGATTGAATACCAACCACATAAACAAATAATTAATTTGCTGAAGGCTTGAGACCCTGACATCCATTGAACGAGCATGAACTTAAAGTAAAGCCTATGCCACCGGACGACGACAACGTATCGCTTGGACAGAATTAAATCACTAAAAGCTGCTTTGCTCCGTTGCTTTGTTCATACACTATTAGAAAACACCTTTTTTGTAGTCCTTTCTAACGTCTTGTCGAAAGCTTCCCTCAGAAAATTTACAGCAGACTAGCATCTTCTTGTTTAAATTTGCCGTTTCTTGTATGATTGCGGCATACCTATTCTGATAGACATGGTGAGTTATAGAAATGAGAAAAATAAGATTTTTAAGGGTAAGGACAAGAAGTTGCTAATACTATTGTTTCTTCAGCTTCGTTTTTTGATACTGACTGCTTTACTGAAAAACTTTTTCAGTGATTTCTGTTTTGAAAGGAAACTGGCAAAGCTTCAGCTTTAATCCAGTGAGGTCTATTAACAATATCATTGGCTTAACTCATCTTGTTGTCATTGAGATAGGCTTCGTTTCTTAGCTACACTCTTGTTTATGTGGAAAACTACTTAAACTTTTAGAAGTGAATTTTTATACAATCTTTGGGAAAAAACATTTAAGGTCAGGTATGAATTACCAAAAACATGTTGAAACTTTTATAATAACTGTCGGTTTTAAGTGCTCATGGAATACCCCGGGCTTGCGTTTCGCACGGTGTGAAAAGAATTCTTTGGTCACTTGTTTTGTTCAGCTGCATCGTCGCTTTTTTATTCCAAGCCAAGGAAATTATTGAAAGGTTTTTTCGCTACGATGTTATCGTTGGTGTTGAAGTTAAGTTTGAGAAGATACAATTTCCGGCTGTAACTGTTTGTAATTTGAATCCTTACAAACACAGTTTAGTACAGCGAGTGCCTTCTATCAACAGCACGGTGAGGCATTTGTAGAAGTTAATAAAATTTGCTTATTTTTCCAGTCAGAAAAATAAAAAGCTAAGAAATTAAGCTTAAGACGTAATGGAAAGTCATCTCACTGAGTTTAACCGAGTAAATGCTTCTAGTTGGAAGCTTATAATACAGCAGTTCGGGAGTATGTTGTTACCACAGCGAGTGAAGAAAATATTGCGAAACGGAGAAAACGACATCTCACTTCAGAACACTTGTATACTCTTTCAATCAAATGCTCTTTGTCTAATGGTTGGTCCTCATTACCTATAAAAAAAACAATTATAAAAAACCAAAATTTTTTTCGGAAAATTATATATTTATTAGTATCTCAACAAAGTCAACTGGAAAAAAAAGTCGGTTAAATTGCATAGCCTCATAAGTGACCTCATAAGTGCTCTATGGCAAAATTTCCTTAATTGCTTGTGTAGATAAAAGGCCGTAAGAAATATAATACAGTATAGTTTTCTAAATTACCAATATATTCTAAGGAGGCCGTAAGATAAAGTTAAAATCACGAATTATTAAACGTGTTATAAGACAGGCCTTCTTTCATCAAGATGGAGTATTAATCTTCAGCGGTTCTTCCAAAAATGTGGTGTAATACAACAGTGTTGAAACCATTTTCACTAAAGATCCTTAATTTTTTAAATAATTAATTAAGCTATTCTTCTTTTTCACAATTGCTACTAAAATGTTATTAACCTCTGCATGACTTCTTCACACAATCGTATTATAAAAGTTTCTGACGCAGATGCTGCTAGCTAGCTGTCAATCGGAAATATTTTATAATACAAATTGCTCTTTTCCTCTTATAATTGGAGGTCATTAATTTGTAATGGTAATGAAAGCCAGTTACCAATTTAACGAACAGTTCTTTAAGAAAGTTTTAATAAAGTCATAGAAATTAAACTGGAAGTGTTCTTGTACTTCCTAACTTTTCGTTTGTAAAGACCTCAAAAATGAATGTCTGAAAGACGCTAATTGCTCGAGAACTTTAGTTGATGTATACCACTTATTGTTCAGATAAACAAAATGGAACTTATGTAACCAATGAATCAACCTGTATTTGCCTTAGTGATGAAAATTTGATATGGAAATGTCGAGATGCCAGCAAATGGACGGATACTTACTGCTCCATCTGTGATCTTGAAACTAATGTCTGCAGAATGACGGACGATGCGCCAAAATATCCATGTCGCTGCTATAAACATTTGTGCATTGGGCTTGACTACCATTTAGTTAGTTTTACATTTTCTCTTATTCATAAAGTTTTTTCACCCTATCCTTCCTTCTCCAAGTTACTAAGAATTGAGTATCAAACTTGATGCCTTTCCAATAGTCTGTCATTTAATTCGCATAGTAAACTGACTAATAAAAAAAGTTTTTGAAAAGTAGAAATTACTCATAATTTCCCCGCACATTAATTCATATTAAATTCTAATTCTAAATGATTTTTTTGTCAGATAAAAGATTCTTTGTAAATAGAACATGTTTCTCCTAGCGATATATAACACGATGGTAAAAAGTCAAGGTTTTTTTGGCTAATATTTCAGAATCTGGAAGCTTTCATTTAGGCAAGTTGCAGATTTAAAACTTGTAGCTTAAGTTGTACTCAAATTTAATTTAAATGTTAGTAGGCGTTTGAATTACTGTTTTCAAATTCAAAAATTATAATACTTTCTCGATATATAATGCTACAGAAAAAGGAGCAAAGTGAAAATGGAACAAAACAAAGTTTGAAGAAAATTTTTTAGCCTTTGTTTTACAACGTGTTGAATACCCTTTTGCTTCTCAGTACTTTGAACAAAAGTCGGCTTGTGTACCATACTTCAGTTTAATTGAGAAAATATTGTCTCTGATTTCAAAGGTTTAAAGTCGCACCAAACTTTCGATTTATTTTTTTCATGGTTTACCGAGCGAACAAGAAGTTTGTCCAACAAGTCTTTTTTCATTCTATGAGGCGAAATAAACTTGGCTCGACAAGTGTTTCATGAATTTTTCGCAGCCTCTTAGCAGTTTTTATTTCTCCGCTTTGTCGCTACCTAAATCCGCCTTGCTTTTTCAAAACCGTTTTAATATTCATAATCAAAATTTTTCTCAACCTTAAAAACTAGGTTTCTGCTTGCTCCTTTCTCACGTGACGCGTTTCTTCACAAAGTCTACTTTTCTCGGTGAAAAGCTGCATGGTTTACTGTAGACTGTAACTTGCGGAATTTTTTGCTTTATATTTACGCTAAGTTTGAGTGTTTTTTCTTAATCTGTTAGAAATTGGCTTTATGACAGCGCAACCTGCCTAAAACTGAGGTCAGGCAGCGTAACATATTTCAGTAAAAAAATATTGAAACTTTTTGCTTTTTGTTTCTTTTAACTTCCGTTTTTATCCTCTGAACTTTGTTAGTATAGAAAAAATGAAAAAAGTTTTAAAAATTTAGTTCG